GAAAGCTTATTTTATATTTTTAAATTTATTAAAAAAGCTGGTCTTTTTTTATTAGATTTATAAATAATTATATAATAGTTAAGAATCCCAGAATAAACCTATAATAAAAATTTATAAATTTTAGAAAACTCCGGACTATTTTTATTAACTTAAAACTTTTCTAAAAAATAATCGCTTCAACTTTTTTAAAATCTATTTTAATATCTTATTCAGTATATATAATAAATCCGAGATATAGAATTTTTTTTATTTAAATTTATATTTCTTAATATTTAAAAACAAACCGGCTTTTTTAAGTTTTTATAATATCTTTTATATATATTTGCGGTGTTTTTTAATACTTTTATTAGTATAAATTAATATATTATTAATATAGACCAAACAGAGTTCCTCGAGATATTTATATAAGACCTAGTTAATATACTTTTAAAAAATACTTAAAGTATTTATTAAACCAAAAAATATTACTAGCTATTTATGTAATTTATATTATATGTAAAAGACTATTATCTATTTTTAATTTTTTATAATATAAATTTTATAAAAAATAAATAAAATATCTAGTTTTATAAACTATTTTGCTTTTTTAATTTAATTTAGAGTCTTATAGATTAAAAAAAATAAATAGTAGTTTTTTTTTATAATAGTATTAAGTACTTGGTAATTTATATAAAATCTTAATTCTTTTCTAGACTTTTATATAAAGAATACTAAAGCTGCTGCTAAAAAGTAGCTAATTTATATAAAATTTTTTTCTAATAATTTAATCAGCTTAAAATATAAAACTGTCAGCTCTTTCTAAAATATATTATATAAAAAATCTTAGAGAACTTCTAATTCTTTTCTATTTTAGTATATAAATTTAGTTTTATAATTAATATCTTTTTTTTAATATAGTAGTAGTTTTTCTATATTTTTTAGTTAAAAGAGAAATAGAAAGTCCTAATATTATTTAAAAAATATTATATAGAAATTAACTATTTTTTTAGTTTAAAGTACTTTCTAAATATCTATAAATAAAATAATAAATATTTCTATATTTTTATTTTATTTTTTTTATAAATAGTTTTTAAGTTTTATTTTTATAATTAGCTGGAGTTTTAACTTAATATATTATAGATATATTAGGTTTTTTATTCTTATTTTAATTATATATAAATAAAGTTATTTTTATTCTATATTTAGGACTTTTTTATAGCAGAATAGCCAACTTTTTTCTAAAATTAGATTATAGCTGAAATTATCTAATATTATATAAAAGTATACTTCTTTTTTTATATAAAAGCTTATATCTATTCTTATTTATATAATAAATTAGATTAATATTTTATTACCGGAAATTTCTTTTATCGGTCTTAGATTAATATTAATAGTTATTAGATTATTTATTTTAATAAATATTTTGCTTATAATACTATATATTAGATATTCTAAGTCAATAAGAATTCAGACTGTTATAATAAAATCTAAAATAGTCTTTACTAAAAAAAAGTATTTACTTATATATTTTTTTTAAAACTTTTTTATTTTCTTATAATTTTGTTTAAAAATTTTTATTTAAATATATAACTTTATATTAGACTTCTTCTTTTTTCGAATCAGAGTTTTTATCCGATAAATTATACTGTATTCTTTACTGTTAAAAAATAAATATAGCCGCGGCTATTTTTATTAGTTATATAATAAGTCTTAAAAAATATTAATAGATAAAATATCTATTCTATTTATAATAAAAATAGCAGTCTATTTTATATCTTTTTTATATTTCGTCGGGTGTTATCTATTAGACTTATTTCTAGGATTTATTAATAGTTGTATAGAAATAATATTTATTTTATTATATAATAGCTATTTAAATAAATTTCTATTTTATTAATTTAAAGCTCGGTTTATATCGCGCTAGTATAAATTTAGTATAATTTTTTTTTAAAAAAAGAATATTCTATTAAAATTATAATTTATATACTATAGTTAGTTGTAGTAGTCTTTATATATAAACTTTTATAAAATTTTAATTAAACTTTTAATAAGTTTTTAGTTTATTATAGTATCTAAAATTACTTTTTTCTACTTATCTGACTAATTATATTCTTTAGTCTGTAGTAAGACTTTATTAAAATTATTAAAAAATTCTTTTAGTTTTATTCTTTTTTACTTTATTATATTTATTTGGTTTAAAGTTTTTTATTATATATCTAAATCTCTAAATATCTTATTTATTATAATAAGTATATTATCGAGTTGTATAATCTTAGTATTCTAAGATTTAATCTAAAAAAGTATTTGTTGTACTATTCTTTTATATAATTAACTATAAATATAGAAAACTTATTTTAAACGGGTAGAATAGTAGTTTCTGTTAATTATAAGTTTTATTTATATATTTAACTTAAAAAACTTATAATTACACTTATCTTCTCTATTAAATAGTTTTATATTAGAATACCGAAAGCAGAATCTATAATTCGGCTTGTATAGTTATTATAAAGAATTTTCTCTAGTTTTACTATTACTAATAAAAATTATATTATAATTTTATAGTTTATTTATCTGTTTTTCGAAGACTAATTTTTATTTTACTATTTCTATACAAAAACTAATTAGCTTTTATAGAAAAAGCTGTATATTATTATAAATAATTATAGATACTGCGGTCAGCTGCAGTCTTTTTTAATCTATTTATTTTATTATTTTTTTAATTTTATTCTATTCTATTTGTACACCTAATCGGGCTCTATTTTAGGACTTTTTATAAGCTATTTTTAATATTATAAAATAGATAGATTATACTAATTAAAATATATTTTTAAATAAAAAGAAATAGCTGGAGAGCTATTTTATCCGTTTATACAAAATTCTTTTGTGTATATTAGACTAGTATTAGTTAGTATATAATGTTGCGAGACCTTAGGCACCAACTGGTGCCTGAGGCCGAGCTCTATACTAGGGCCTTGATCCTATAACACTAGATAACATCGATGAAGCTCTTTAATATTCTAGCCATATAAACCAAATCTTTTTCTTTTCATTAGCAACTAAAAAAATATTAAAGAATAATTTCAAATTTTTTTTATAAAGTCTTCTAACTAACTAATTATTATTAATTCTTAAATCTTAAATATTAACTATATATTAGAGTCGGTCTTACCGGAATAGTTACTAGATAATATTATTTATTTATCAGGATTATTTATTATTAAAATCGGATCAAATAAATATACGGCTGCTCTAATTTAAGACTATCTTCCGTACTATAAAAATAATTCTATATTTACAGCATGCAATATGATACTTTAAACAAGCCGTATACAGAACAAAGAAATATATATTATATTCTAATTAAAATAAAGGTATCCAGAACAGGGTATATATGATTTAGTAATCTAAATACCGGAGGCCGACGAATTTATATAAATAATCAAACTAAGCCTAGAACAATTAAATTAGTATAATAAAAATCTATTCTTCAAAAAATTAGATTAGTTTTATTTTTTATTTAGTACCGACAGATATTTCGATACTATTATTCTGCCTTAATAAATTATTATATAGATCCAGAGTTTACAACAGGACTTCTAGTAGCAGACTAATAAGTAATTATATATGTATATAATAGATAACAACCGTTTTTTCTTTTAACTATATTATTACTTTAAGAACTTACAAACTGAATTTATATATTTTAAATCTTTAAAAAAGTCTACTGTACTATTTTAGTAATACTATTACTATACAAAAGATACTCTTACTGCGGTTATAAAATAAGTAAAACTCTATTCTATTTATTATATTATTCTAAAGCCTCTATTACTAATCTATAAATATTATATAAGCCTTAAAAGTAGAATATAATCCACCCACTACCTTAAACTATAATATTTTTATTAGAGTAGGTCTTTTCTAATAAAATATAATCTTAGCTTAGATAATATTTAGATTCTATTAAACTATTTTTATTTTAAGATTATTTAATATCAATTTTCTATAATACTTAAAATTAATTAAATAAGTATATTTTCTTATTTACTAAAAGCTTATATAATAATAGATTAGATATTACTCCGACCGGCAAAGAAACAATACGACTCGAGCCTTAATAGCTAATATCTATAATAATACTAATATAAATAAAACACAAGCTTAGAATATATTTTCGATAGTAATTAGCGGGAAAATTCTGAACTCTATAATATATTTATTATTATATTTTCCTAATCGACGAACAATTCATACCAGACATTATTCAGAAATTTGCCCCCCTCGGCGTTAGGTAATGTAATTAGGCCCATACGATCCAGAATCTGACCGAATTTGTCCGTAGCTAACATGAATCCTGCCCGCTTCAATTTGTGTTGTAATGAACCAGACTTATTCTTTTCAGTCACAATGTACTAAACATAGCGCATGTATAACAGGCCTGGCGGGGTTTACGGCCTAGTGGGTAATACAAGATTAGATATAGAATAGACATGAGCCTTATGCTTTTGAGAGTATTCTTTTTTCGTGCCTTTCATGTATTCTGCACCGGAAGAAATCTGTGTATCAACACATACGGAGGGTAAAGTCAGGTTGAAACTGTAAGGAAATTCCAAAACGAGATATAGATTGCCAGACAGTGTTTCTAGTGTCCTGTCTTGCACGAACTAAGCGCCATTCACAAATCCAGGCCCCCTCTAATCAAGGTCTCCGCCCTCTTCAGAATTTCGATCTTGCCTTATGCCGTAATTTAGTCGAATAGTGGACTTGTAGGAATGAGACAGTTCGTTCAGGAAAATAGTCTGCAATCTCAATCCATGACATTGCTTCTCTTTCTTTCAGCCGAACCAACTGCGCATTTTCATCTGATGTGTATGGTCTTTGTTTCCCTGAAATTTCCCCCGGATGCGCCTGATGCGACATCGAACTCGTGTCAGGTACAAAGGTGAAATAATACGCAGGTTTGACTCCAGCATCTGATACGACTGTGAGCAGAGCTTTTCCGCATATCCCATGAATATCCCGGGTACAATTGCATGAAGCGGGAATTGAAATTTCCGGAGGGCGAGAGACACGCTTAAAGGCAGGCTTCCGGGTCTTCATCTTCGGAGTCGAGCCCTCAGTGCGAGAGAAAAATTCATCTGGGCTACTTTGATTAATGGCGGCTTGGCCTGAGCGAAGTCGCTTGTTGCATGCTGCCGCAGCGGCCCTTGTGCTTGCCCTGGTGGCTCTTCGCTGCTTCCATGAAGGCGCGGGTACAACCACAGCTACTGACGGGTAGCGGACTGGGCTGTTGCAAGTTTGGGTTGTCCTAGCACCAGAATTCTCTAGACTAGAGCACCGGTTCGAGCGAGAAGAGAGGCCAGATGCAGTTGACTTGGCTCCAGCGCTGCCGGAAATATCAGCCCGCTCCGAAGCATCAATTGCATGGGAGCATAAATCTTCACTTAGCTCAGGTGATCGGCACGGGTTTGTAATCTTTCCACCAGCTATAGCACCGGTACACTCTGAAAGAGCCCGTGTGATCAGCGAGCTTCCCTGCACGGATATCTGATGGGATTCACAAGTTTCGGATTGGCTGCTAGTAGCATTGCCCTCTTGTCTGAATGCAGTCGCGGTGACACAAGGAACCGGTGAGATCTCAGCTTTTTCCGCAGCTTCGCCATAAGGCACGAAATCTGGAGCATGTTAGGAAAAGAGAGGTCTATCTATAATGTTGTCGAGTATAATACTAACTTACATGGCAACTCATTCTCATGTACACCGGGAAAAACATGATCCAATTGGTCTGCGCAGCACGGTACTGGTGTCGCTGAGGTGTCTTCGAATAGGACTGGCTCGGATGAAGCTAAGCGAGAGCCTCTATTATCCGACTGAATGTCAAGCGCGGCTGGAACGATTGGTGCGATAGATTTTTCGGCATCTTTTGTCGTTTGATGCTCAGTGACGCCACAGAGCCGATCAATCTCAAAGTCAAATGTATTCCATAGATAAGCAGTCCCGCTAGGTGGTAGGTCCTGTTTTAAAGTAGCCTGGGGTAGTCCTGGAGCTACCTCAGTGGGAGAGAAATGCTGGGAGGTTTGTGGAATATGGACTTGTGGTGAATTCCTCCGATTATTGCAGGAAGGCTGGCTTGGACCATGGTAGAACTCGATTTGATCAAGATTCACTCTCATTTTGTTCAAAAGACAGACAGAAAAAGAGAAGAGTAAATCTTAGTACTTCAAAAAGCGGTAGGTGGAAGCAAAACAGTAGAGAATCGATTGAAACGATAACTATTCGTAACTTGCGATCCAGAAGATGGAAGAGACAAAAGTAGGAAGCTCTGCCAGTCCTTTATAAGACTTAGATGACATGTGAGTACCATGGTGCGAGATCGGCCGCGCAGCTCCTGGTAGGCTTCGTACTACCGGAGGCATTCGTCGTTTGTGCCTTGTCGAACCGGCCCTCGCTTGTGTCAGGCGCAGAAGCGGGAATCCCGCCGATAGTAAGTTGAAAGCCTATAGGAGGGCTTCAGACTTCCATTACCCAGATTGCATAAAGATTCTATTTCTGGAAAAAAAAATTTGAAGAGCGCGTCCTTCGGGACCGAAAGTCATACGGCAGGTGCGACCTGTTGTTTACAGGCCATGCACATCATTCGGTCATGCCTAGCGTAAATGTTTCCGTTCAGCCCCAGGGCGGCTTGAGGCATTTTTGCTGTTGGTCAGCATAAATCAGAAGCTGGGCTAGTGAGTGATCGACTTCGCTGCTTGACGGATATGTTCGGTCGCGCTCTGGCTAGGTTAGTGAAACGATACGAGATCAGGAGCACTGTGTTGCCTTGGCGATTAGACAGAGGGCAGAGCTAACGTATTGAGTCCCACGAGTCCCACAACGACAGCACTAGTGTCAGTTTCATACAGCCTTTCAGTTTACTCTCTTAAAGAGTGGCTGAGAAAGTAGACTTGAGGGAATGGGGAACACTTCGCATCCCAATGTGATCAGAACTGCCGGTGTTCCATCCAATAATCAACAGTGACAAAGCCACCAAGGAATGAGATGAACATCTGATTACAGCACTTTCACGCACCCAGTGCAGGTAAAACTAGATAGTCGAGCGAGAATGTAGCACAAAAGCCAAGGATGTTGCGTGCCATTTGCCATTACACTTGGGCTTATCCTGGCCGTTCTGGTCAAGTGCTTGGAGAAAGCGGGCTGTGCTAAAGCTGTAGCGTACAATTTTTGCGACTTGCAGGGGGCGAAGGAAGATGCCACGTCAGCCGATCCGAGAAAGACCTGGGAAGTGAGATTAGGAAGGGAGATGATGTTGCAAGATGAGGATTTCCGTTGAGCGACGCACCCCGGTTTTATATACATGGCAGACGTTGTCCGGTGGGCGGTAGAAGAAGGCAGTTCCTGATCAGGCCTAGCGGAGTGTACCAAGCCTGTTATGGACAGGCTAAACCGCGAACAGCCGGCGCAATGCCGTATCCAGCGCGGGCAACGCAGGCGCTAAACCTAGAGAAGCAGGCGCCGAAAACGGCCGCGCTCCAGCAAATCGCAGTTTTACTATCTTATAATTTATATAAAATTAATATAAACAGTAAATCTAATATAAAAAAATTAATTAAATAATATATATATTAGCTGATAATATTATAATTAATTATAAATATTTTATTACTAATACTAATACTATTAATATATATTAATAGTTTTAAAAATTTAATTTACTTATTTATAAAAAACTTTTTAAAATAATAGAAATCTTAGGCTTTATACTTATTATAACTAATATATATCTCTACTGTATTTTAGATTAAAAATTATAAAAAAGTTATTAAATTAGTAATATTTAATTAAACTATATTACTTTTTAAAGCTAATAAATAATAAAAGATTATAAAAATAAAAATAAAACTATTTATTAAATATAGTATATAATATTTTATTAAATTATTTATAGAATATAAAATAATTTTAGAATACTAAATATTTAAAATTAAACTTAATATTAATAATAAAATATATAGATTTAAAACTTATTATATTATTTATAACTTTCTATAGTAATATAGTATTAACTATAATTTTATATATATTCTAATAGTAAAAACAGCAACGGTAAGAATATTTTTTATTATTATAATAATATTTAGATATATTTATAAATAAAATAATATTAAATAAATATTTTTATATAGTAAATTTTATAATAATAAAAAGATTTATATAATTTAAATAACCAGTTTTAATAATAGAACTAATAAAATCTATTTTTTATTCTTATTTATATATAGTTTAAAATAATTTATAAAAAACTAATACTATAAGTTTCTTACTACTGTTATAAATATTAGAATAATAATATCTTAAACTAATAAATATTTATTTATAAAAAAATATAAAAAAATTATAAATTTTTATATTAATGATATTTAAATTATTATTTTTATTAAAGATTTTATTAATATTATATATTAAAATCTATTAAAGTATTTTATTATTACAGATTTTAATAATATTTTATAATATTTTAAAGTTAGAGTTAAATATTCTATTAGTATTATTTACTTAATATAAAAAGTCTTTTTTTAATATATTATTAAAATTATAAACCCGGCAAGTAAAAAGATATATAAAATATTTTTAAATAAAAATATTAAATTTATTAAAAACTAGAAATAGATATTTAAAAAAAAGATTAAAAACTATTAAATTAGTATTAAAAATATTATATATTTAATAATACAAACTTATTTTAATATTATATTTATAGTCAAAAAGCTATTTTATCATATAAATAATCTAATAAAATAATATTTAAATAGTTTTTTATTTCTACTCTGCTATTTATACTGAACTAAGAATTATAAAATATTATATATAATATACTAAAAAAGTAGTTTAACTAATAAATTTAAAATTATAATTAATTATATTAATACTAATTATACCGGTTATTTTAATATATATTATTTAATTATTAAATATATATTTATATAAATAAATAGTCTAATCTTTTAGTTACTATATTTATAGATTTATATTATTATATTAATATATGAAGCCGAATATATAGCTTTTTATACTATAAATAAAAAAATTTATTAAATTATCTATATATTTAAAAATATTAGTTTTTAAAGTATATATTTAATAGTTATTTATATTAATAATAAAATATAATTATATTAGTCTAGAATAATTAGTTTTATTCAAAAAACCAAGTATATTAATATTATATTTTACTAGATTTATAAAATTATTTAATATAGTAATATATAATTAAAATATATTAAGTTCTCGGAAAATCTTATTAATTTATTTATAAAGTTTATAAAAAGTATTAAGTTTAATATATTAGTAAAGAAACTAAAAATATTTATATAAAATATTAGAATTAAAATAGTTTATAAAAGTACTAGCTGGCTGTATAGGTTTTAATTTAAAAATTCTTATTCTATATATTTATTAAATTTATAATACTAAAAAATTTTATAAATTATCTATTTAAAAAAGAATAACAGTATTACAAAGCTCTTCGAGGGGGTGTATTAGTATTAGTAGCCTAATATTACTAGATTATATAACAGCTAAAAAATTTAAAATATTATATAGCTATATTTAATTTCTTCTAACAACTAATTAATATTAATTTAAATAGCCTCAACTTTCCAGCCTCTGTAGCCGTTCCTTCGACAGATTGATTGATTGGTTGATTGATAAGATCGGAATCCCTATCACATTGGAAGTTACTTATGTCGCTCTGGTTACGTATCCAGATTGCTTGATAAAATTACTAGTCTCCGATGTCAGTAAACAGCCATCCCTTGGTTTGCTATCGAGGTTGCTGCGGTGGCAACCAGGGGGTTGAGAGGTTTGGTTCAAGACCTTGGGCTCAGGAGAGGAAGGATTTCGGTTTATGGGTCATACTTGAGCATAATATTTGTTCACGCCTGGTAGTGAACTCACTACATAGATATATAGCATTATTGCGGGGCGGCATTTTTAACAGGAGAGTTGGGACAGAGGAGACAAAAGGGTTGAAGTAATTGAAGTACGGAGTTATTATTGATGATGGTAGTGGAACAGTCAGAAGCAGCAAACCTGATGACAGAGGGTTGTGTAGCTACGGGTCTAGCTGGAGTGGTCTATAACTAACCTAAACCGCCTAAGTTACTAGTAAGTTAGTTAGTATATCTAGTAACTCGATCTAGTTAGTGGTTGCCCTGCACAACCAGGCGGTCAAGCGTCAACTAACAACACACCGACTGATGAGGATCAACATCATGCAGGCGACTCTTTTGAAATAACAATCGCAATCATGTATCCTTGACTTCTCACATTAGAGGCATCTTCTGTGATAGATCTGGATTTGAAGTGACGGAATACCTAGGCTGTGGCTGTTTCACGAATCCACAATCCCCGGAACCTTTGAACTATAACTATTGGGCAAATTGTGCTGAATCTTACTGGTGCTCCGATAACAAGTGGGATACCATTTCTCTTATCCTTTCACATTCCAGTTCCTGCATTTGCTTTTTTTTTTCTTTTTCTTTTTGGACTTCTGACCCGCCAAGGTCACCAATGGAGAACCATCCTTATGGCAGTCAATTTACTGACTACGCAGACCTCCCAGACGAGGAATCACTACGCCTCTCTTCAGCTCCTTACGATATCGCGCACTCCCCGGGTTCCACCTCCCCAGCAACTCGAGCCATTTCGCAAGAGTTCGACCATCATGACGACGGCAGTTTTCTCATGGGAGACGTACAGATGCTGATTCAAGACGGATATCAATCGGACGGATCGTCGACACGCCACTCCAGTGAGAATCTCGGCGCATACCTTGATGAGGACCAGGCTTGTATGAGCTCAGGAGAATCCAGTCGCTCTTCGATATCGTCGATACCTCCATCGGTGTACACAAACATGGCAGAGGGGATGAAAGCACCTGGGCACAGACATTCTCATCCGTGGGACAGTCACGATGGCATTCATGCGCATGGAAGGATAGATGCGACCTTACGGCCGCTCTCTGCGACCCGGCTGAGGGAAGCTGCGTTCAGGAAGCCAAGCTCGGTCAAGGCAATGCAAATGCATACCGAGGATGAGCGGGACGATGATGCCTTCTTGACCCCGCCCAAGCGTCGGGCGGCCCACCAGCGCTACTCGAACGCCTCGATGCGCTCGGTGGTGGGCTCGTCGCCATTGCGGAAATCTCAGTTCTACTCACCTACAGGGTCGGCGGCCAGCAAGCAGAAAGCCAAGGACGAGTACCCGCTTGTCCTGTTGCACTGTAACTTGCTACCACCATCGCTTCCAGTCCCAGGCGCAGCGGCCTTTCACAACCAGAAGATCGTCAGAGAGGTGCTTCCCCCGGTCTTCTGGCGTCGATGGAAGCTGTTAGAGGAGAAGGTGGGCTCCGGTGTGCTCCGTGAGCGTGGCGTACTGATCTCGCATCCGGAAGATCTGTATGACTTGCTTGAGGAGCGGCTGTTGGAGAGCCTGGAGCTGCAGCGTCCGCGCCTCGACCATGGTCACTTTATCGGACATGACGAGGCTGAGTCAGAAAAGAAAGACCATTTGGAGAAGGAGGACAGCGCGACAGACGAAGAGGAAGGGGAGGCATGCCCTGACTGTGGCGGTCATGTGGTCCGGCATGGCAATGCCGGGCGGAAATGGGAGATCAAGGTGTTTGCAGCCAATGGACTGATGCGAGCTGGGGCTTGGGCTGCTGCTTGGAAGGAGATGGAGAAGGTGGACGTTGAGGTCGGCTTGTGGCTGCCATCAGAGATCCGCAGGGAGCTGGAAAAGAGGCTCATGGGGGATGATTATTATTCCTGCCAACTGGATCCCCAACTGCAGGTGCCGCAGCTGCAGGTGCCCGGCAACGATCCGGTCATTCCCACACACCCGCAGGCCCGGCATGCGCGGACCTCAAGTTCAATCACAGCTGATCAGAGGCCTTTCTCATTCGACGGAACCGAAACACAGTCGCCTCCGGCTATCAACAGTCCTGCATCAGTCGAAAGCCGACCGCCGAAGCCGTCTTTTTCTCCGCAGTTGAATGATGATATCGACATACAAACACTGTTGGTCAATTACGTCCGCGTGTTGGCTAGCGACCGGCGCAATGTGGCCATTGCCATTCTGAGCATCCTGATGGTATTTTTCGCCATCCAGTCGGGCTCCCAAGTGAAACCTTCGGCTCTCCGTCCATTCCCTCATGACTTCATGGAGCATGAACCTCTGCACCCGCCTGTCACTTCAGTCAGTCAAGCTGATAGCACCATTCGCAACGTTCCTATTGCCTGCGTGAGTCAAGCCGCCGAGAGCGCAAACAGCGAGATCATCGTTGAGACAGCGCCTCTGTCGGTGAGTAGCATTCCAGATCCAGCGAGCATGAGCGTTCTCCCTCCCGCTATATCTGAGACTGTCGCTGAGCCGGTGCTCGTGTCTGCACGCGATATATCAGAGCCAGTGGGCGAGAGCGTTCAATCCACTCTTTCATTAGAGACCGTTGCTAAAATAACTCCCACGCGTGTGGGTGACATCTCAGAATCTGTGAGCATGAGCTCTCAAGCTGTTGCCTTGTCTGAAGCAATCATCTCGGCTGCAATGTCCGAACCTGACAGATCACATCATGAGTCGGATGCAAGCTCGCGGGCGAAAAGTCTTCTCACTCACTCCCAGGCTCAACAGCGATTGCCCGAGTCTCTCTACCCAGTTGTGGAGCCATCGACAAGACGGATTGCCTTGGTCAAAGAGATGACACCAGCCCCGGATAGTCTGAGCCCGATCACGGAGCAATTGATGGCAAACAAATGATATGATGATGATTACGATGATGGTAAATGTAGAAATGCGATCCATGACCGAGATGAGATTGATTGATGTATGGATTTGTGCGGTAAGGCACTCTGGCTCATCATTCCTATGGTTGTTGCAAGCTTTTCCTGTTTTCCACTTGCTTCTTTTCGACTCTTCCAAGATTTTTTTCTAAGCCCATGTAGTTACTGTATCTAGTGTTTGCCGTTTTGCTTGGCCAAGTCAAATAGTGAACTAGCCTACTCTTTAAGTGTGATCAATCCAATTATCTAGACAATAATTGCCAGGCTGCTAGGCATGCGGTGTGATAAGTGGGATTGGCATGACTCGTTCTAGTGAGAACCCATAAAGAATAGGATTCAATAAAGGTATTTCATTTCGGCTTCCCGCCTGCCGATCATCTTCCAGTTCTTTACTCTTTTGCCCTCGGGTTAACCCCAACACCTCCAAAGGGAGGCTCTTGTCAAGATAACTGCTGCACGCCTTGCAGCGCTTTCCTGAATGAATCTATGCGGATCTCGCATCTCATCACGGCCAACCAGCAGGCCCTTCTACTTCTACGTTCAGTTCTAGGTCCTTGAGTTAGACCCCTCTAGTCCCTCTCCGCATATGGCAGGTCATCATGAACTCACGCTGAGGCATTGAAGGATCCCTTACTTGCCTTGGCTTGGACTTGACATCTAGTCCAAGATACACAGTGGGCGGGCGGGCGGGCGGACGCTATGAATCGCTATCATGGCATCTATAAAGCTGGAATGTCGTGTTGCGCAGAATGCCACGAAGAGGAACGGCGAAGAAGCAATCGTTGCCTCCGGCTTGAGGTTATTCGCAGGGCGTTTACTCTCATACTTTTTATAATATCCCTTTCCCTTCTCCGATCGGACTCTTGTTGATACTCCTTGTCTGCGCGGTGTCTTTGTGGTATCTTTCTTCTCTTGTTCTTCGCCATGAAGTTCTCTTCCAGCAAGCTGGCCTTGTTGTCAGTGATCCCTGGCCTGGCCCAGTGGGCTTCTGCTCGCGTTGTTCAATTTCAGATCGATCTGACATATGAGGATAATGAGGTTGCTGGATTCGTGCGCAAAACTATTCTCAGTAATGGGCAATTCCCTGGACCCCACCTGCAATTGAAGCAGGGTGACGACGTGGAGTTCCTGGTGAACAACTCGATGCCTATGGCGACGACTGTTCATTTCCATGGTTAGTACAGTCTCGTGCAATTGGAAAGTATTAATTCACTCATGAATGCTTTCACAGGTATCGAGCAAAGAGGCACACCATGGTCGGACGGGGTCCCCGGATTGACCCAGGAACTTATCCAGCCTGGAGAACAATATCTGTACACCTGGACGGCCAATGACTATGGCACCTATATCTATCACTCTCACTCCAGAGCTCTGCTGGACGATGGGTTGTACGGCTCAATCTATATCGAACCGGCGGAGTCGGTGGAGAGACCGTTCGATTTGATCACCAATGACCCAGACGAATTGCAGGCAATGCTGGATGCGGAACAGAGCACGCAGCCAATCCTGCTCTCTGATTGGAAGCACTTTGATTCCACGGACATCCTACGGCTAGAGAAGGAATCGGGCGTGGAAAGTATCTGCACCAGTGCCGTTCTGGTCAACGGCAAAGGTTCCGTGTTCTGTCCCCCGCAGGAGCATATCAATGCGATCACGACGGCTGCTCAGAAGGAGATTCTGGGGAATACGACTTTGACTGATATGGGGTACGGTTCTCGGTTTAGCGAGCAGAGACTTATTTGCAGCGGCTAACTTAGACTAGATGCATTCCTGCCGAAGTTCTCTTTGGCCCGGCATATCCGATCGATACCAGCAAGCTGCCCAATGGCTATTATAAAGGCTGTACGGCCAGCGAGGGTCCTACCGAAGTTCTAAGCGTGGGCGCAGGCTATCAGAGCTATGACCTGATCAGTATGGGGGGCGTCACCTCCCTGGTGTTCTCTATTGACGAGCATCCCATGTATGTCTATGCGGTGGACGGCCGCTATGTTGAGCCCATGCTGGTTGACGCTGTCACCGTACCTATCGGGGCACGATACTCGGTTCTTGTCAAGTTGGACCAGCCCGCTGCTGACTATACTGTCCGTATCGCCAACAACTACGCGACCCAGGCCATCAATGGCACGGCTATCATGTCCTACGAGAAGCAGGGCTCAAATGCCTCCAGCGGCTCGAACCAGGTCTCTCAGCCTTCAATCACCGAAGTCGGAAGCAATGCCACGGCCAGTACAGTTTTCCTGAACGAGACCCAGGTGGTTCCTTTCCCCGTGGTAGCGCCAGCTGTGGATGTTGACCACACCTATATCATTGACATCGTCCCATACAACGCCTCATACACCTGGAAGATGCACAATGCCAGTTACGCGTCATCGAATGAGGGACTTTTCCCGGTTCTTTACAACCGCAGCTCGATCCCAGCGCAGTATACATTATCCACGCTGAACAACACCTGGGTAGACCTCATTATCAACATCACGACTGCTGGACAGCCAAATCATCCCATCCACAAGCATTCTAACAAGTATTTCGTCATCGGCTCGGGTCAAGAGACATTTACATACTCGTCAGTGGCCGAGGCCATGCAGTATATCCCGCAGAACTTCAACCTGGACACACCTCAGATGCGAGACACTTTCTTCTCTCCGCCGGCGACGACGGGCCCTACCTGGTTAGCCCTGAGATACCAGGTGGTCAACCCGGGCCCATTCCTGATGCATTGCCATCTTCAGATGCATCAGAACGGAGGCATGGCCCTTGCATTGCTTGATGGAGTCGACGCATGGCCCAATACCACTGAGCATCGAATGCCGGTGAAGGCCACGCCGTGAGGCAAGGGTAACTTTCTTTGCTTCAGTGTATACATGATATCCATAGTATTGTATATTCCTTGTACTCATACTAATAATTGAACTTCTTTTCTTGCGTGCCATTCCTTGTTTGGAGACTGATAGACTAGTCTATCGATGAGTGGGCTTGGAGATGGAAGAAAAGAAAAACGAACAAACATGCCAAACCGTGGATAGGTGGTTAGTCATTGGGCGACTCCACCGCCCGGCCCAGGAAGTGCCGCGATAGGACGACTTCCTCCCTTCGTCATCTCCGATCTTTCTCTCGAGTCTCGAGTGACCGCCCGCCCGCTTTCCATCTGTATCCATCTCCATCTCCATCTTCCTTCTCTTTCCTCTCCTTCCTTTCTGACTTTCTTTCTTTCTTTCTTTTTTTCATCACACCTTTCTGCACCTCACTCTCAGTCAGTCCACCTATATATCTTCAAACAATTTCCAACAATGGGCGGAAAGAAAGGCGGAGCCGGCGAGAACTCCAAGAAGGCGGCTGGCCAGGCTCGCGTATGTTTGCACTTCCCAAGTTATACACTAATTTTGTTACCCCGCCCCCTCCCTGCCTCTCGCCTGGAACAATGTTGAATTCCCATCCACACAACCCCCTACCCTTCTCTCTCTATCTCCGGAAGAACTATACTTCTAGAGGACTATAACTAACCACAGCCCCAATAAAACCAACAGAAAGCCGAAGCCGCCGCCGGCAAAAAGGCCGCCGAGGACGCCAAGCGCGCTGCCGAAGAAGACAAGCAATGGCAGAAGGGAGCGAAGGGCAGTGCTAAGAAGTGCGTTTTCTTTTCCCAGTCCTTCCCCTCGCTTTCACTCATCTCCATCCCCCCCTCCCCGGCGCTTTCTTCCCCAACAACTCCATCTAATCGCGAAATATTTTCAATCCGCAGGGACGACGCCGAGGCCAAGAAAGCCGAGGTCGCCCGCAAAAAGGCCGAACGCGACGCCCTCCTAGCCGCCGAAGAAGCGTCGCAGCCCTCGAAACCCAAGGGCAGCGGCGCCAAGCAGGCCGTGAAGAAGACCCGGGGTCTGGACCTGTCGCAGCTGGATGAGCCGGCCGGCGGCAGCAGCAGGGCCTCGGCGCTGAATGCGTCGGGTATCGACAACGCGCTGGACGCCCTCTCCCTGACGGGCAAGGACGCCGGCAAGGTGGACCGCCACCCGGAGCGGCGGTACAAGGCCGCCTACGCGGCGTACGAGGCCCGCCGGCTGCCCGAGATCGAGGCGGAAAACCCCGGCCTGCGCCGGCAGCAGCGCGTCGAGCTGTGTCGGAAGGAGTTCGAGAAGAGCGAGGAGAACCCCTTCAACCAGGTGCATGTGGCGTTCGATGCGAGTCGCGAGGAGATCGCGGCCGTGCGCGATGCGGAGCGGAAGAAGGTCGAGGCGCGGTTGGCCAAATAGAGGAGGAGGAGGTTTCTTTTCTTTTTCTCTTTTGTTGGCGGGGAGTTTTCTATTTTTCTATTTTGTCCTCGATGTCATCGCAGCTAGGTGCTGTTAGTACGGCCTGCTACGTACTATGATGTGGTATATATACCCCCGGGTTTTTCCTCTTCATCGGAAAGCTCAAAATTGGAGTCGGATCTAGGGCTGAGTGCCTCGGATCCATGATAGAGAGGTTTGGAACTGAATACGGTATACAAGATGAAATGACTGGGAAATGAAGTACAACGAACGAAAATCATGCATAGAAAAAGTACATAATCAGAAGGTGACAAAAATGTTGGTATCATGCAGTCTAAGATCATATATCCATAATATAGAAGAAGAAGAGTCCGTGAGAAAAAAGGGGTGGCTCAGGACAAACCGGAATCAACCACCCATCACAGCCCGTACGTCCCAAACATATAGACTCTCATCCCACCCGACACTGGCACACCACCCCTCACTCCCGAACAGACACCAATCCACCCCTGTGACGAATTCCGTATGCTGGCCCATTCGCCCCAATTCCACTCCCATGTTGGGACCGCCGGGCCCGGCACGCATCACGTCGACATCCCCGACGACCCCGGCGGGGGACTGATCCGTCCAGGCGCGACAGGTCATATCATAACTGGCGCTGAGCAGGACGTTGGACAGATGCGGCGACCAGGCGACTTTGCGGACGGCGTAGTCGTGGCCCAGCATGACGGTCTGCGGGCCCTGGTGCGGGGCCCGGATATCGAAGGTCCGGATGGTGCGATCCACCCCGGCGGTGGCCAGCGTCGAGGGCCGATACTTGTTCCAATCCATCGTGAGGGCCTCGGCGGGGGCGGAGCCACCGGCCATCAACGGCGGCGGTGCCCCCGGTTGCGGCGCCATGATGCTTGCTCCTGCCCCTGCCCCTGCCCCGCCGCCACCTGCATGGATCGGAATCTGTAAGGTGAGATGGTTGGAGGCGGAGGCCGGGGTGCGCAGGTCGTAGAGCCGCAGGTACGAGTCCGAGGTGACGCAGGCGAGCAGGTCGGGCGAGTGCGGCGAGAAGCTGGCGGCGTAGGTGCAGCTGTGGGTGGGGAGGGTGAGGAGCGAGTGCGGGCGGTGCGGCGACCAGACGCGCACCGTGCCGTCCCAGCTGCTGGAGCTGAAGCGGTCCTTGGCCACCAGGTTCCAGTGCACGCTGAACACCTCGCGGTTGTGCTCCTTCCAGTTCTGCACGGGGAAGTCGTTCAGGCTCGTGTCGAAGAGCTTGATGCTCCCGTCGCCGCTGGCGGCCAGGACTTGGTGCTCGTGGATCTCGGACCAGGCGAGGTCGTAGAGGGAGTCTTGGGTCGTGAAGCTTTTGTTTTGTTAGGTGGATTGTGTTGATTTATGGGGGATGGTTTCCAGGTGAGATGCTGAAGGGGAAAGGAAAAGGAAGGTGGTGTGCGTACTGTTTGGCGGGGACAATGCCATGGGGAGTCAATTCGAGAATGAAGAGTCGTCCATTGCCCACTAGGCCATAGTTGGCGGAGGCGGCGACCGCCAGGCGGTTGTCGAAGAATGGAGAGTATTTGACTGCGCAGCCGTTGAAGCCCTCGGTGCGGAAGTGAAGCATTGTTGTCGTTGTTGTTGTTTACTGTAGGGGTTTGTCGGATGGGGGACTAGATCCGGTGGTCTCGGTGCGGGGAGATGATGGGAGGAATCAAGGACAGGCGGTCATGGCGGGGAGGAGCGGAGATGAGGGGTGGGAAGGCGTAGAGGAGAATGGGGGATTCTCGGAGGAAGTAGAGAGAAGGAAGGAAATTCGCAGTGGTGATAATCTTGTGGTGCGGGGGAAGATGAGGCCGAGTCCGAGTCCTCCAGGTTCTGTTGTAGTGAGTGCCGCCGCTCACTGAGCCAAAAGCAAAAGCGGCGCGAGTCCAACTTAGTGCTAGGGGGGGGGGGGGAAAGAGCGATGGAGAAGAGCCGAGGTTCGGCAGTCCGACGACGATCTTGACCTGGTCGGGTTTATAACCTGGCACATGCACGCCTGTCGATTCTTGGACCTGAACTATATCAAAAAGTAACCAGGGTGTTGTCCATCTTCATCTAGACACAATCATAAGATTGTCAATCAACACTTCCTGTGTTTCTAGAATAGAAAGGGAAAGGATGTCACAGTGACGCCATCAGGGCCAGAATTAAACTTTGAAGCCCAAAGGGTAAATCTTTACAATGGCCTTTCTCACCTCCGTCCCTGTTCTAAGCACACTCACTTGATCACACTCACTTAATCACACATTCTCCTAAAACCACCACCATGCCCTCAGCCTGGACCGATGACAACAACAACGGCCAACCCCCAAACCATGCATCATCCCCAACCCCAGCCGCCAACTTCCTCACGACAGAGATCTACAACATCGGCGCCCAGCCGGGCATCCGCTCGCTGCCCCCGAGCCCAGAACGCGACTTCCTGGCCCTAACCTGGGGCCCCGTCGTCTATCGCACGGCCTACAGCGCCCGCTCGGACCGACTCCTCCCAGTGTTTCTGCGCGCCCTGTCCTACGAGGTCCAGGCGGCCATCCCGCGCCGGCTCCCCGGCACGCCCAAGCAGCGGCACCTCCTCGAGACGAGCTACGCCTGCAAGGTCTTCAGCGACGAGACGCGGTACGCGGGAGCGGAGATCGGCGCCGTCCGCCGTGCGTTCCACGACTGGAAGCGCGCGGACCTGGCGCTGCCGCTGATGGAGCTGCCGGCGCGGTTGCGGGTGTGTTTGGTGGTGGACGAGGAGGTGCTGCGGGCTTTGGAGAGGATGACGACGAAGGTGGACGAGGTGGACATGGACGAGGAGGCGAGGGGGAGCTCGACGGAAGACGACAGCGAGAAGGGATCCGGGGAGAGGTCTTACGGCCGATGTCCGGTCATCATGGTGGAGGAGAATTTCCCGGATCGGAGGAGGCGGGACTCCAACCCCGCGGACGGAGAGTACCCCGGCTGGACGCAGGTGGCCCTCTCAGCAGTCGTGGAGGTACTCGAGGGGATGAGGTTTGGAAATGGATTGAGCCGGTTTCATCGCTCTGGCCGAATCTATCTGGGAGAGAGTCAGTGGTCTTGATGGGTTGATTCATGTCTCTTGGAGTTTGGGCTCTTTTGGCTCGTATAGATCGTTGGCGTTAGGAACCGGGTGTACAGGTATAGAGCTGGGATAGATAGAGTATTCTTATATAAACGGTCTTGAGAGTATCATGATTATGACTGCGGAGCTTGATCAAGTCTAATTTCCATACACTGTGCAGCAACTTACGTCAATCGACAAGTCTCTTCCAGTATGGTTCTTATCGCGCAAGGAGCACGCCTGCTCATTGGCCATATTGAGAGCAGTCACGTGGTGATAGGATATCCATTTCCACCCATCGCTTCCAGTTTGTAAAGCGTTCAATCCCTTCGTGCTCGACAACTAAACAGTTGGCTTCCTAAGAGGAGTGTACACCATGGATCGGTATCTTTCCAGAAAACGGGCCCGGAGTCCACCGGCGCCCACCTGCTCGGACGAAGACTCGACCGATATGAAGCTCGCGCGCCTGGCCTCACTCTTCCCGAACATGGCTCTAGATGCATTGATGGAGATTCTCCTCTCCACTGGCGGCTGCGTCGAGACGGCAATCACCACGATCCAAGCTCAGGCCTCTCTGTACCCTCCCAAAAGGCGATCAACGGCCGGCGCCACACCCGCGGTTCAGACTTCCTTGAATGCCCACATGCGAATATCCCACCACCCGGAACAAAAGCGATCGCGGACCCGAAAAGGCAAGACGCTGCATCTATACTCCCCGGAAGACATCGCGGCGCACACGCCCTGCACCATCATCCACAACTTCCTGCCCGCGGAGCAAGCCAACGCGCTCCTCCTCGAGCTCCTCGACGAATCGCAGCACTTCTCACGCTACCGATTCCAGCTCTTCGACCGCACCGTCCAGAGCCCCCACTCCGCCAGCATCTACGTCGCCACCCCCGAGCAACACCGCCAGCACACCTCCGAGTACACCTACGGCGGCACCTACCGGGCCACCGTCCGGCAGACCACCCCCCACCTGCGCGCGGTCTCTGGCAAGGTCCAGCAGGCGGTCAACGCGGAGATCCAGCACCGCATCCGCACCGTCTACCCGGGCGGCCGCAAGCTGAAGTATCAGTCCCCCAAAGAGTGGATGCCCAATGCGGCCTTTGTGAATTGCTACGACGGCCCCACGGAGGCGGTTGGATACCACTCAGATGAGCTGACCTATCTCGGCCCGCGGGCCGTGATCGGAAGCTTGAGTCTCGGCGTTGAGCGGGAGTTTCGTGTCCGAAGGATTGTTCCCACGGACGACCATGACGACGATGATGCTGAAGACCCGGGGGCGCCGGAAGATACTTCCGAAGGACGGATCTCGGCGCATACAGCGGAGAAGACTTCCACTCCGGCCAAGGTCCCGAAGGAACCGAATCCTTTGGAAGAACACAACAACTCTCGCAAAGCACCGACGACACCGTCATCACCAGCATCAGCATCAGCATCATCCCGGGCAGACGCTCAGGGTCAAATCTCTATACACCTCCCGCACAACTCGCTGCTGGTCATGCACGCTGAGATGCAAGAGGAATGGAAGCACGCCATTGTCCCGGCACAAACCATCTCGCCGCATCCGCTGGCGGGGAACCGGCGCATCAACGTCACGTATCGGTGGTACCGCGACTCATTGCACCCGCGGTACACGCCCCGGTGCCGGTGTGGCGCCCATACGATTCTACGGTGTGTGCAGCGCAGACGCGAGACCCGGGGCCGGTATATGTGGATGTGCTATGCGGGGTATGCCCCGGGCAAGAAAGGGTGTAGCTTTTTCCAGTGGGCGGATTTCGATGATGATGGGGAGCCACTCTGGGACAAGACGGCGGTGCATGATGATGCGCCGTGGTTGGAGAACTTCGTAGAAGGATAGGACCAGTTTGAGACTGGGGTGGGGGGGGCACGTAGGAAATGAGAAGGGGAATACCAGTATATGAGAATATCCGATCAACAGTGGAAGGGTCGCATTTTGTGGTACTGCCTCTCTCCATGGATATACTTCCACAATCTCATTCTGTATGCATAACGTAGTTACACTTGATCATCAAAGAGACCCTTCAATTGTGAGGCCGGGGTGAGAATAATGAGCAAGGAGGTTCTTTTGCCAGCATCCACTCCGACTACAGTCTCATTGACTGCCGTACTCTAGCAAATTTGGGCGTCAAAACAACTGTGTCAAGGGAGGCGAGTTGACAACCCACCGTCGAATCTTCGCGCTCCTCTGCTTCCTCTTACTTGATCACATACCGAAACTCCTTGAAGCTCACACATCCCGGACTAGATCGAGCATCAGGCACCATAATCCAATCTTGGAACTGATGACTTCTGGCTATAAGCTTTAATCCCTTCGGCACAAGCTTGTTTTCAAACTTTCTCTGCAAGGAGAAATCAAAACCAAAATCCTCAGCTCATGGTACTGGGCCGCCATCGCGCGAGTTCTGCGGCGCCCGAAAGAAGATGCGTACGGTCCCTTCTTTTCTTGCTCCCCCTCGCCCGCCCCCACCAGCTCTGAAGGACCGACGCTTGCTGCGGGAGCTGCAGTACTCGGAGCAGGCGACAGCTAAGGCGAAAATGCAACAGATTGTAACGATAGGGACGAGGATGAGGAGACAGACGATGATCGTTGTCTTATAGTTGGACGGGGAAAAAGTTCGCTTCTCACTGAAGGTGGTGAGCATTGTAAGTGCCAGGAAAGCTTATGTCGGTAGGATTTGCGGTGAATGGTTTGGATGTTGATGTGGGTTGAATCTTGAATCTTGAGAGGGGTTGGATGACAATTGCCACAAGGCTTGTAAGCTGTGATGAAAGTTGCATAGATAGGATATACAGGAGGCTGGTGATTGGAAGCTTGGTTCTGGTGTTCTGAAATTGAGGGTACTGGGAGGGTCCACGGTCCGGGGTAAGTTGCTAGCTGCTGTGCAACGAATGGGAAGGTGCGAACAGCGACTCATGAACAATTAGGTATGGGAAGTAGGAATATCCCAGATCAACTGATTGATGGTAGTACAATGGGTATATTGAAGCACCTAGCTCGTAGGCTTTATTGATGCACCTCCTCCGTTCGTAGGTTGATTTTCTCCATCACCGATGCGAGCGTAGCCTTATCCAAACGGGTGAATCGAATCTATGGCCAGTCCATGTCAGCAACAGTCCCTCGCTGAAAGGGGGGAAAGAACATGAAATAGCATACCGTCTCATCCGCTCCTCCGCGCGTGGGCCCATACAGAGTTGAATCCGAGATACTAGCCTCAACCTCACTCTGCACCCGTCTCACCCAGATCCCATCCCAGTGCCAATCCCCAGGGGCCCTGGCTTGCGGGCTTCCAGCCTTCTTCACCACCCCCAATGAGGTAGCTGTAGCACTGTCGCTGCCCCTCTGGTGCGCCTTCCACGCATGCCACGCGCTCGGGTTCGCGGCCGCCTCCAATGGTAAGGAGTCCAGAACAGTCGCGTCGTCGAACGTCGAGCGGATATAGTCAAGAAGGACTGCTACGGGGACGGTTTGCCTCGTTTCCGAGAATCGTCGGTCTGCTGTCGGAGAAGTGGGGTCGATCTCTTCCGTCGTGGGCGAGGTGGGGGTTGTTTGGTCTTGGTCGGGTATAGGTTCTTCGCCGGCCGGCGTATCAGGTCTCCTTGCTCCGTTTGTATTAGTGCTGATGGTCGAGTTGCGCACGCTCACGGCTTTGATGGATGGAGCTGTTGACGGGTTGCATCCGCCTCGTTTGGCCCGACCGAACCAGTGCGGGAACCCGTGCCGTAAACTAAATCCGCCGGGGGGTAAGCGCTCATCGTCGGTGGCGCTGACGGGATCTTCATTCGAGGCACCTGTGCTGAAGGTGTAAGTGGTGAGGGGCACGACCAGGGGGTGAAAGACGTCGGTCGCGAAGTTGACCATGGGCGGCATGTCGGGATAGGAGTCAGGGAAGCGGATCTGGAAACGGAGGACAGCGGAGGCATATGGACCTTTAACAGACGAGTGATAAGCATGTGCATTGACTACTATGAAACTTCACTTGGCCTGCCGAACGTGTGGAGATCTCTTACCAGCGCGAACAAAGATGACACCAGACCAGAGCGTTGGGTCACCGGGACTGAGGCTCACGTAGGTGCCCGGAGGGGCTGCATGTTGCAAACTTGCACTGGTGCAATTAGCCGAAGATTGGACAACACTTGATTATGGACTGACTGACAATTCCAAAAGAAGCTGCTGTTTCCGAAGGGATGGAATGCTGGGTAAACGGGTTGTCGACATGATGTTTATGGTTGAGGCGGAAGTCCACTGATCTAGTCTGGCTTTCCATTCTTTAGGGGGGGATGGCGGGCTCGATTGACAACTGGAAGTTGTTGGATCTCGCCTTATCCCCGTTATCTCCACCCCCGCCTGCAGTGCCTCAAGCCAGATAAGGATATAGCGAGGTATGTACTAAGTACAATCTTGGTTCATTTTCAAATAGTCGACTATTCTATCTCTATACTTGCATGAAATTCAACGCTTGTGGTGAGGGCTCCAATAACGCAAATAGAAAAATGCACCGCAATCATAGACATCCTGCCTACAAAGCTCAGGTCATAAAAATGCCATTTCACAGCCCCCTTCTGAGTGCTTGAATTGAGGCCCTCTCGAGTTTTGCGTGGGGTTGCATCAGCCCCAGAACCGTCATACCCTCTCCCACGCCCTCATAGATACCACCCGCGATACCTTCCACCCACCAGTCTGTAATATTGATCACCGTCGAGCGCACCCTCCCCTCGTAAAGACCCAGGATGGTAGACCCAAAGCTCATGCTTCGTTTGCCCCAGCTATCTACCGTGTCCAGGGTCGTTGAAATGACACGTTCGGTGACCCGATGAGAGCGCTCGTACTGATAGACCCGCGCAAGGAGTAGCTTCAGGTACGGGACCACGTAACGCACAAGGACAAAGATTTGAATAATAACGAACGCCAGCAAGCGATGCAGGAGTGACCTTCCAGACTTATTAGACCGATGATATGTGTCTGGTTCTGCGTCAGAACTTATAAGCCCTGTTGCCGGCTGGCTTGCATCGCCCGGTACCAACGTGGATGACTGGAGACTTGATGGAAGGTTATGCCGGATGGTTGCGATCTCGTCGTGAGTCAGTTCTGCGGGTAGAGCGTCTAATAGATATCCCAGGGCAGTAATGTACAACGAGCGGGCCAGGGGACCGTCGCATCGGGGCAGTTGCGCTTCATATCCAGCGTTTCGGAGAAGGCTCAGCGCTAATGATAAAAAGTGAGTCAGTTCTGGCACAACAGAATTTCCAGATCATCTTGCACCGAGAACTCAGCATTCTGTAGTCGGAGGATCAGGGCATAATCCGGACCAATTCAGATCTATTGAGAGGGGATAGGTGTTGCTATTACAAACCAGGTATTACTCTATTCCATCGCAATCCAGACTCCGCTTCGTACTTCGATGATGATGGTACGCCGAATGTATCACCATATCTACCGTCTTCAAAGGCAGTGATCTCACTCATGTCTGGAGCCTTTCCCGATACAGACGACACGCAAGAGTCTCGCTCATTGCTCGAACTATCCGCCGTCGCAGGCCGCGGGAAAAAGTCGCCGCTGAGTGAGTCAGGCAGGGTCTTATAGCACTCCAATTCCGGAATGGAAGATGACGGCATACGCGAGTGCATGGAGGCACTCGGTTGCTCGCTAATCGTATTCGCCTTGAAGTTTGGCGCGACACCTGAGCTGACCGATCGCTGAATTGTAGAGTAAAAGCCAGGGAGTCGCCGTCGGAGAGATGCTGGAATGACGGGGAAAAGGATGGTAAACGCCTGAGGATAGACCATTGTGTCATGTAAAGGTGTTCGATCATCCATGACGGCCATTATTGACGGCCAAATGCCGTCTTTGACCCTGAATAGTACCTGGAGAGGAGGAAGGGCGAAAGGCTAAAGGGTCTGCGTCAGACATACGCAGGCGGGCGGGAAAGCGTTGAGACTCGCTTGTGGTTTTTCTTGGGTCTACTGATACTATCAGGCCACGGTGAATTTGCACGTGGCTGTGTCAGACCGTTAAGTAGCAGTGACTGATGCAGGAAGACCATTTTGATTGCGTTGGAGGGGGAAAAATCCCCTCGAAAAGCCCCGGCGTCCAGTTCCGAGAGAATCACATGTCAATCACGGATGTCAATAGATAGATAGACTCATCTCGACTCGGTTTCCCTTTCCCTTTCCCCCGATAAGCAAGCAATCCCGCGACAATCCCGAGCCAACCCCGTCAAGGTGCTCCGTGAGTAACCATGAAACCTTCCATAGGTACTGGGTATCAATTCATTTCATTCGTTCACGCGAGCCATCCAGGATGGATCCAAGACCCAAGATACCTAGCCAATCAAATGGAAGTGGCACGCCTGTCAGTTCAAGTTACACGCCCTGCGCCCTACGTCTGACATGTGCGAAACAAGGATCGAATCCCTTTATGAACCGATTATATTAAGACTAAACATCGCTCGCTTTGACTTCTGTGCCAATTAAAGAACCTTTTGAACGCTCACAAGACGATGACATGACTAACTAAAAACAGAATCCGAGACTTTTACCACCATAACTTTGTCCGTCTGACAATCTCCTAGGCCAATTACTCCTCTTCTTTCGCCAATCAGGCATTCCTTCCAGGAAAATATAGATCTTGTGCCAGACTGTGGTTCGGATCAAGACCTGCATCGGACATGTACACTTCGTTTTGCTTGGGACTGGGTATAGGAATGGGTGCCGAAGCCATCTTTGACGGAGCCAGTGGCTGTGCCATCGAAACTGCCACCTGTGCCTCATGTTCATGGGAAATGAAATCATTATCACTTCCGCCGTCGCCTCCGAAACCCAGACCCTGCAATTCCTCCAATGGCATCTCATCGTACCTGGAATTCAACTGTTGAAGGAATTCTGGGTCGAATCCCATTTGCACGAATGGATCAACCGAAGCGC